TGAGTGCTGAGTGTGATAGTGCTGTGTATGATGTGTGTGAGTGCTGAGTGTGATAGTGCTGTGTATGATGTGTGTGAGTGCTGAGTGTGATAGTGCTGTGTATGATGTGTGTGAGTGCTGAGTGTGATGTGTGAGAGTGCTGAGAGTGCTGTGTGTGTGAGTGCTGAGTGTGATGTGTGTGTGAGTGCTGTGTATGATGTGTGTGAGAGTGCTGTGTATAAATGTTGTGTGTTGGGGGGTAAATAAACAAATAAAAACCTAAGTGGGAATAAATATACAAATAAAAAAAAAATAAGGGGGATAAATAAACAAAAAAACTAATCATGCATTATATCCCCCTCCCACTCCCCTCCTTACCTTTAGCCTGGGAGGGGGAGGGGTCCGGCACGCTGGTGAGTGTGGGGGGGGGGGGACCGACACTCGCACACAATCCCTGGTGGTCCAGTGGTGACTCTTGCGATCTCGCGAGAGGAACCCGGCGGTGCTGCAAGTTAGAGCTCCGCCGGGTCCTCTCCCTCCCTCCCCATCCGCAGGTCTATTTAAGTGGGCTGGTGAGGGAGAGCTTTGATCTCCCCACCGGCCCTCCATGGCAAACAGCGGGGCCAGCGCTCGGATAGTGCCGGCCCTGCATAGACCGGCAGGGGATGTCCTGTGACCTCCCCTGCCTGCCTCAGCCCATGGCCACCGTGGCCCACCGGGCATTTGCCCGGTGTGCCCGATGGCCAGTCCGGGCCTGCTACTTAGACATCCCTCAATATTAATACAGACATCAGAGTAAACACCAATAAACTGTGCAATCTGATCCCCCCAAATTTATAAAGATTTGCTTACTGGATTTGTTGTAAGATTAAATCATGCCTCTTCCTCTCTCTCCCCCATCCGCTGCTCTGTAGGCTGGGAGGAAGTGAAGAGTAATCACAATCTCCCAGCACAGCTGCACCTGTGGCTGCATGGGGAACAGCTGGTTAATGTAATGCTTGCAGGACGGCCAGCTGCTGCAGAACCTCTTTGTTCCCATCTCTCCAAAGGGCTCCAGGCACTGCTTGCTGTGTGTGTGAGCCACTGTAAATTAGGGGAAGAGGGCACTTGCACTGCGGTAAAGACGGGTCTGGGCAGGAGGAGAGTGCAGTGCAATCAGTGCACTCCCCTCCTGTGGGTCACCAGTAGACTGGTGCACCTGCCCAGGATCAAAGCCGGTGCAAGGATTTTTGCCGCCCTAGGCAAAAGAAACATTTGCCGCCCCCATGTGACATCACAATGCCCCACCCATATGATCTGCCATATGAACTAACGCTAGTTCTGCACACAGTGTGTGTTTAAAAAGCCTGCAGGGACCGGCTATAGACACCAGAACCACTCCATTAAGCTGAAGTGGTTCTGGGGACTATAGTGTCCCTTTAATGTGAGGTAAATTATAGATCAGTGTTACGAATAATATACTAGATTGCCTACTTACAACCAGATGAGGATGATGATGGGCTGCAGTTTGGCTCCACTGGTCTGGTGTAGAACAGGATCTCTGGAGGCTGTTTGCAACTGTGATCACAAAATTCAATGTTCTGAGAGAATTGGAAGCAGCTCTATTTTTTGGGGGCCCCTTACACAGCTCAAGGTCTGGGCCCCAGGGCCTGACGGTGAGTATGCGCACAAGGCCCACTCATAAGTCCACTTATATGTTCCACCCACCCATGAGTTCGCTCACAGGGAGTGGAGTGTGTAGGGGATGTGTTATGTAATATTGTAGAGGATATAATATGTCTGCTTATGGTATGTAGTGTATAGGGATACCAGTTTGTGTAGGTGATAGAGTGTGTTTGTGTGTAGTGGAAGCAGTGTATTTGTGTATAAGGGATGTATTGTGTGTTTCTGGTTGTGTGTAAGGGATGTATTGTGTGAATCTGTGTTTGTATGCATAAGGGATGCAAGGTGTGTGTGTGTCTGTTTGTGTGTGCATTGAGTGTGTGTAAGAGATGCATTGTGTTTCTGTGTATGTAAGAAAAGCAGTGTGTGTGTTTGCATGTGTATGTAAGGGTTTGCATTGTGTGTTTCTGTGTATGTGTGCAAAGGATGCATTGTCTTTGTGTGTAAGGGTTGCATTGTGTGTGTGTGTGTGTGTGTGTGTGTGTGTGTGTGTAATGGATGCATTGTCCATTTCTCTGTGTGTAAGGGAAGCATGTTGTGTTTCTGTGTGTGTAGGGATGCATTGTATGTTTCTGTGTATGTACAGGGATGCATTGTGTGTTTCTGTGTATGTATAGGGATGCATTGTGTGTTTCTGTGTATGTATAGGGATGCATTGTATGTGTGTGTGTGTGTGTGTGCGTGTAGTGTGAAAGAGCTGCCTGTCTTGCCCCCTGTCCTATAGAGCTGTCCGTTCTGTCCCTTAGAGCTCCCCCCCCCTTGTTCTTCTTACTACCCCCCTTGTTCTTCTTACCCCCGTTCTTCTTACCCCACCTGTTCTTCTTACCCCTTCTTGTTCTTCTTACCCTCTCTTGTTCTTCTTACTCCCCCATCTGTTCTTCTAACCCCTCCTTGTTCTTCTTACTTCCCCCCTTCTTCTTACACCCCCTTCTTCTTACCCCCTTCTCCTTCTTAC